TGACTGTATGTGGTGGATATATGATTGGAACTTGCCATCAGCAAAGGATTAGTGGCTTTGGATTTTATTCAGTACTCAAATTCTATGATATGGGTAACTTGATCAATTTTGGGATTTATTCTATGTACACATCTTTATTTCAGTTACCCTATTAAAGTTTCATTTGAACTGTCAGTTTGAAAATCAGCTACTTATGCTCTATGTAATTTATCCAGATTGAATCCAAGGGAGATAATGAAAGCTGTGTTATTTCTGCATCAGTTTTTCACCTGTCATGTAAATGCCCACTGTTGATGGTGTAAACCATGCAAATCATCAGCTGCTTCAGTGACAATTGACTAGTTGTCAATGTGTTACAGAGTTTTTGGTAGTAAATACCAAGCATATCTTAGGCATCTTGTGTGGAAGTAAGTTCCCATAAGTATATTTGCATATGATACCATGACAGTCAGCAGTTGGAAGACAAATGTGTTCTATTAATTCCAGTGATATTTATTCTAAAACTTGTGTATGTAGGTCTGAGAAGTTATCAGTGGAACAGAAAGTAGGTTGTTTACCCTCCTCAAAGCTCTTTTGACTATTGCAGCAAGTGAGTCTTTCTAAATATATCAGAAATCAGATGCTACGCCGATAGTAACTTCCATGGTCCCAGAATTATCATTTAAATGAACACCACGTTTCCCAATGAAAATGTTGGGTAATTACAATCTTTTTTCAGTTTTCGGTTTCGTAATTATGCTATGCTGTAGTTTGTTTAACAATTATTTGAATAAGCTACAATTGCCTAGCTTTGCACAACACATTAAGTCGTAAACTATAATGTACAAACTACAAGAACAGGTTTCATGCATCATTCCAAGCCAATCCCAAACAAATTGCATAATGACATTAGAGTGATACATGACCCTAGCCAGTATGTTAAGTTCCTAACCCAGCATGAGGTAGCTGTTGTTATGGATGTTTAGCTATCTCACATGGTGTCTTCTTTCAGACATCCCCATTTACCTAAGCGTCTAGGGATAAAAATTACCCCAACACCAGACTGCCTTTAAATTAAATTATTATATTTTTCTTTTTTCTTTTTTTAAGGAATTTTGCTTTATTTTTGTTTTTTTATTTATTTTTTT